TTAGTCGGTATTTTGTAATAGTTGCTATCTTAATGGAAGAAGTTTGACTGTGCTGTAGGAATCAACATGAGTGATGTAATTTCATTTTTTTTAGTTCGTTTGCTAGTTAGTGAATGGTGGATAGTGAATGTGGCTTTAGATAGATACATTTATATAGTAAAGAAAAAGTTGGTTCAAAAGATTTATTGTGAACTTAACTAAATTAATTTTGATACTTTCACTGTTTATTTTAAATGATATTTCATAAATTAAATCAATAGGTGAAAATTAAACTCTTGAAGTCTGGCACTTCTCGAGTTTCCGAATGAACATTATTAAGGTGTACACCTTAAATTATGTGTTGTTCATTTTTATATAGATAATTAATTCAACTTTTGTATTTATATATGCTTAGTAAACAACATGTTTTAGACAATTCAATAAATTACACTATAGATCTTTTTTTAAATTTACTTTTATTTTATTTTTTTGCTAAATTAAAATCAATTCACTTTAACTTACAATTTATTTTTTTCCAGCTTATTTCTAAAATATGTTTGATTTTCTTTAAATCCTGTTTCAATATATTTCTCAATACCAAATTATTTCTCAACCAAGTCATGAAAAATTAAATTCTTGAAGCCTAGCACTTCTTGAATTTTTGGACAAACATTATTGGGGTGTACACCTTAAATAATATGTCATTTAACTATTCGTTTAGTACGCAATTTAGAACAAAAAAATATCATAGGAATCTAGCATTCTGTGTGATATTTCCGCTGTTCATCCAAATATTTTTCAAATAAAAATGGTGTTATTGGAATCTGGCATTTCGGTAATACCCCGATTATTTAGTTGTGGGGCCGACGTCTCATTTATTAAATAATCGATATTTTCAAACTCAATCTCGCGTTCTCACTTCTCACACGTTCACAAATTATTTTCATACCCCGTTTCGCTTCAAATCTTTGTTTAAAATATTTTTCTCGATCAAACTTCGAAAGAAGAAGATTCTTGGAATCTAGCATTCCTTGAATCTTCGAGTGAATAGCTCTCGAGGCACGCTCTCGAGTTGTTATTCACTCAACCTTTCGACTTTCTTTCAAACTCAAACATTTTCAAACATCCTCCTAAGACGAGTGCTCGTACGCATTCGCAACCTTTGACACTTCGCACACACATTCACAATTCCTCGTGGTCTCGATATTAGGAGCACCCTCAGGGACTAATATCGTTTCTCACAACTGTAACACTTGACATGTCGTCAAGTCGGTTCCATCTTCGATCAAATCCTCGACACGTCGTCGAGCCAGTTCAAAACACCTTCCTTTTGGCCTCGCATGCCATTCTTCGATTCGATCCTTTCACAAACATTTCCGAAACTTACGAAAGAGGGATATTCTCAGAATCTAGCATTCTTTGGATATTCGAATGAGTAACTCTCGAGGCGCGCCTTCGAGTTGTTATTAATTTATTCTTTCGAATTCAAAACATCCAACTCTTTATCTTCAATTTATGCAGTCAATTCCCGAAAGAACTGAGTTCTTGGAGTCTCGCATTCCTTGGATTCGTGAGTGACAAGCTCTTGAGACGCGCTCTTGGGTTGCTCGTCAGTTACCCTTTCGTCTCAAACTCAAACTTCAACCCTATTCAAACCTCATCTTTTCGTGGTTGTTACCACGAACTACAGACGCTCTGATTCTTTATTCATTCTTGAATATAAGATACGTAGGCACAAGATTGCGATGATCTTGGCGAGCACACTTCTATCTTCCTCCATTATTTCGTCCACACATTCCCAACCTTTCCTATAGTCGAACTACGATGCTCTGATTTCTCATTCTCGTCCGAATGAGCATACGTAGGCACAAGGGCCCCAATCCTTGGCGAGCACCCTATCTTCTAACCACCCATCTGTCCTTAGCGTCTTTAACCGTTTAACCTACCAATTCTACCTTTAATAACGAGAAGAAAACAAGTAAACCTAGACAACACTCCCCACATTTACCTTAAGAGGTTCCCGTCGAGTACGACGGACGTGAGGGGTGCTAATACCTTCCCCTCACGTAATCGACTCCCGAACCCGGAACATGGTTGCGACAACCCTGTTCCTATCCTTTCGTTTTTTAAGAGGTTTTCTCGATATTTTCCTCTCCCATTCATTCGGGAAAAATAAAGTTCGGTGGCGACTCTGTCGAACTGCATTTCCGCGCCTTTCGCGCGAGGGTCGCGTTCTCTGAAATGTCTCAGTGATTTTTCGAGGTGCGACAGGTGTTACAAGTCCTAACATCCATCAAGTCTTGGAAAAAACAAATAGGGAAGCAGAAAGATGGATTACAACATGGAATTCAGCTGATGACTTTGCTATATTCAGGGTTTCAAATGATGTTGAGACATATATTATTAACATGCTGCAAAAGAAATGTGGTTGTATGAGGTGAGATTTAAGTGGAATACCATGCTGTCATGTTATAGCATGCATATGGTTTAACAAGAAGAAGCCTGAAGATTATGTTTCATCGTACTATAGGTGTCACCTACTCGTATATTATGTTTACTTAGTAACATATATTTTGCACACTTACTAAAGCATCATGTTATTTTGTATATGATGTCTATTGTGCTGGCTACTTATAGCCATATTATTATGTCAACCATTGTCCCAAAACTATGGTCTATTAATGTTGTTCAACCAATCGACCCTCTAGTCATGCGAAGATATACCGACCGTCCAAAGAAGAATCGTAACAAGGTGAATGATGAACCAAGGACAAGAAATACGATGTATATAACTCTTCAAACTGTCAAGTGCAAGAAATGCGAGTGTTTTAGCCATAACAAACGAACATGTAAAGGGAAGCGAATTGCGTAGAGCGATTCCTAAAGGTGGCAACAAAAAAGCGAAAAAAGGGTGATAAGTCAGACAAAGAAGCAGGACAAACTGTTATAGATGGAGGATCACAGACACCACCATCAACTCAAGAATAGTTCTATGTTTAAGTTCACTTTTTGTTATGTTGATGAAGTTTGTAATGACCAAACACTTAAGGTCATTTTGTTTATGTACTGACCAAACACTACAAGTTTGCTTGTTTTGTGATGCTGTTGTAGCATATGTAATGACCAAAACACCCAAGGTCTTTTTGACTTAGTTATGTTGCTTGTTTTGTTATGCTGTTTGTTTTGTTACACTGTTATGTAATGCCCAAAACACTCAAGATCTTGTTGACTTGTAGTTATGCTGAATTGAATGACATCGAAATTACTTCAGCGTTATTTTAAACTGTTGACTTGTATTTATACTGAATTATAACATTACTTCACTTGATATAACATAGACAAATATGGTATACAACGTCTGTCTAGTATATAATTACTTAAGGATTGTCAAAATACATGGAAACTACTTCATTTGTAACATTATGCTGAATTGTAACATTATGCAAATACTCAAAGAAATCTACTTCATTTGAAAATACATAAATTGTAACATTATGCTAAACTGGATTGTAACATTATGCTGAATTATAAGTTACTTCATTTGTTAAATATGGTAAAACATAGCAAAATCTAACATAGACAACCATTTATTCGAATACATAGAAAACTATTTCATTTGTAAATACATAAACATCATAGAAATCACATAATTTGAGTACATGTGTTGCAACTAATGCAAACACAATTTAAAACACAAACATCACATATAAACCCATAAAATAAGACATAAACCTAATCTTCATCTTCAACAAATCTTCATTTTCTTGATGTCCATAATCACATTCATAACCTTTTCATTCTTGTCTTTCAAAGATCTAATCACATTTTTTTGCACGGCTGCTTGTGTCTTCATCAAACCATTGAAAATAATTACATCATTTTATCCTCATCACCTTAAAATTACCACAACCATGAAATCTGTTTCCGAGATTATCAAATGTCCATGACATTATCAATGGTGACTCAAGCTCATACCAACATCTATTCCCTTTTTTTTTTTCTTATACCAGACTGGTTTGTTGAGAAAAAAGAAAATTTCGTTTCATATATGTTTGGATGTAGAAGACACGATGAGTGAAGAAGAGTATGAACAAAGTTGAAACCTACGAATGGATTTGTGATGAACAAGATGAAGCAAGACTTGACCTGCGTCTGAGTTGGAAAATGTTAGGGTTTTATAAGATCGATATTAAATTATTATTTCTGAAAATGAAATCAAAATACATTAAGTATAAATGACATGAAATCGCCACATACTCTTTGAATGCGTCACATCATTAAAAGTAGGACATAAAATAGAGAGAGACTTAAATCAAACTCAAAACTTAAAATAAAGATCTAAATAGTAATTTTTAAAATAAGAGAATCAAAACTCAAAAAAATAAAAAATAAAGAGAACAAAATTGCAATTAAGACAAAAATATTTACACAACACAATACTTAATCTATTCCTTCATTTAAATCAACCATAAAATACCTCCGGATGTTACTTCATTTTAATTTGAATTATTATGAAAAACTTTAAAAAATAGAACAATAAAAAAAAAATTTATTGATAAAATTTAGGTTGAAGGCAAAAAAACAAAAATTTAAGTTGAGAGTAAAAAACAAAAATATTTTTTTTAAAGTCTTTTAATATAAACTTTTTATATCAAATCTAAATGGTTAATAGAAATGAATCTAACTATAGTATAAAAACCGCACATTTAACCAAGATATTAGGTTAATCAATAACAAATTTCCTTTTCAATGTTTTTTTTAATTTCTAAAAATTATTAGCCAAAAGATTTTCCAAGTAATTTTGAACACTCGGCTTAAAAAAGGTAGCGTAGAGCAAAAAACGACTGAAAAGTATTAGACGGTGCAGTAGGATGCAAGACAAGTAATAATAATAAATCACAAATCACAAATATTATTAACACATTGGAAGTGGAAGTGAAAATATAACATTAACAACTACTCCTCCAAGCACGCACCCTCTAGAACACACCGTTAGGTTAGGGTTTCGCGCTTCCGTTTCAATGGTGAGAGCTTCAGCTAACTCCGTCAATCCTCACGTTCATTCCGGCGTTCGTATTGTCGTTGCCGGAGACAAAGGAACCGGTAAGTCCAGTCTCATTAGCACCGCCGCCTCCGATAATTTTCGCCCGAATGTTGCCCCGGTATTGCCTCCCACCACGCTGGCTGTGGATCTGTATCCGGATCATGTGCCAATCACAGTCATCGATACCACTTCCACGTATGAATTCTCTACGTTCTTATCTAAGAATTCTTATATTAATCGACGCACTATTCGTTTAGGTTATTGCACTAGTTTTTATTCTTTGTTGAATCTTTGATATTTGATTTTGGAGCCAGGGTAAGCATATTATTCTTTACCTTAATGTTCTCGTATTTGGCAATCTGCATTTCTTGCTTATGTGTTTATTTATGCTACTGCTAGGAAAACGTTGTTTACCCTAATCTGAATGTATTCACTATTTTACTTTATACCTGTTGCAGTATTGCGGACATTGATAGAGTTTCTGAAGAACTAAAGCGGGCTGACACCGTGGTCCTCACTTATGCATGTGATCGCCCTGAAACTCTTGAAAGTCTAAGTACATTTTGGCTCCCTCATCTTCGCAACTTAGAGGTTATGATATTTCCTTTTCTTGTTTTTTACTTATCTAGTATTACTTAATATAATCAATTAAAGCTCCTCTAGTTCCCTTTTCTTGAAGTGAAGAGATAGAATAATGTGAGAGAAAATTAATATTCCAGAGAATGGAAGGGGAGGACTTCATATAGATAGTGATAAACGGCTAAACCAATTACGCTCATCTGTCTGTTTTGTAGAAACACCTATTTTATATGCACATGCTTGTATACATCTATTTATTGTACATCTTAATCGAATTCACTTAAGATGTTTGTACTTTCACTTTTAGAGATTGAACGCTTGACATAGATATTTGAACTTCATGAACAGGTGAGAGTTCCGGTTATAGTGGTTGGCTGCAAGCTTGACTTGAGAGATGAAAGTCAGCAGGTGAGCCTAGAACAGGTGATGTCACCAATAATGCAACAGTTCCGTGAGATTGAAACTTGCATTGAATGTTCAGCATCTAGGCAAATCCAGGTATTTTTTATTCATACTATATTTCAATCAAATTCCTCCTTTTTTGAGAGCTTATTTCAAATTTGCTACAATTATTTCTGGATTTTGTTTCATACAATTGTAATCATGTTTTCCTTGTTGAAGGTCCCTGAAGTTTTCTACTATGCACAAAAGGCTGTTCTTCATCCAACGGCTCCTTTATTTGATCAGGAGACACAAACTCTAAAGCCTCGATGTGTGCGGGCTTTGAAGCGAATTTTTATCCTCTGCGACCATGACAGAGATGGTGCCCTTAGCGATGCCGAACTGAATGATTTTCAGGTTTTAAAATTTCCTTTCTTATATTAAATGTCAAAATTGTGGCTTGTTTATTATCCAAGTATTGTAGTATGGAACCTTGTATCTTGATCAATAGCTTGTTCACATCATGTTATAGTAAGGTGGTTAACTTGTGTACGTGTAAAATCTAACAAAATATTTACAGGTTAAATGTTTCAATGCTCCTTTGCAACCATCTGAAATTATCGGTGTAAAGAAGGTTGTGCAAGATAAATTATCTGAAGGTGTGAATGAACGAGGACTTACTTTGACAGGGTTTCTATTCCTTCATGCTCTTTTCATAGAAAAAGGGCGTCTTGAGACCACATGGACTGTGCTCAGGAAGTTTGGATATAACGACGATATCAAGCTCGCTGATGATTTATTTCCTCCTTTGAAATACACTCCTGATCAGGTGGTTCTTTTGAGATGAATTGTGTCTGTGTGTATCATGCTCTTTATTTGTTATACATGTTTGTGTCTTCAATTTGCTGACAGCTAGAACTTATATATTTTCTACTCTCATTGGATTTAATCTCTGCAGAGTGTTGAGTTGACAAATGAAGCCATTGATTTCTTGAAGACAATTTTTGATGCATTTGATGCTGATTTTGTATGTCATTTCCACATGTGACCTTGAATAATTTCAATTTTTCATGCTGCTCCCGAATCATTTTTGGACATTTTCTCAATTGACTCTATCGTTATACAATGTGAAAATTAACCATATCTTTTCCTTCCTTTAGGATGGGATGCTGCGACCCCGTGAACTTGAAGAATTGTTTTCCACTGCCCCAGAAAGGTAAACTGCTTTCCTCCAAATGCGTGCCTAGATAGATACACTTTAATTTCCACCATGAAATGGTGGGTTTATTTGCACTGGTTTCATTTGAAGTTGATAACGGAGCAGTGTGATGTGGTGGAATCTTTCTTATGTTGTGCAATTTTTCAAATGTACACATTACACATTATACCTCGGACTTTGCTTCTTCAATGTTTTTATGAAGTTCAGCTATGACATTTTTTTTACCTATATATACCTTTCTGAAGTCTAAATGTCAACGAGGACTCTTGGCAAAATTATTTTATGCTTATAATTATTAATTGCAGTCCCTGGATCGGAAATCCATACGAGGATGCTGTAGAAAGGAATGCGTTTCCAGGACTATCACTTGATGCATTTTTGTCAGAGGTGCACAAGTTTTTTATCTTTCCCTCCACTCCCTCTTAAATTTTGTTAAACAATATTTTGTAGAGACTGGTGGGTTCTACAGACAGTTTTATCACTCAATTTGGATAGTGTTTTGAGAATCAAGGTTTCCTCAGTTTTACATGATACATGACTTTATGTTTGGTCTGTGTATCTTTTCAGTGCATATAACATTAAATTTACATCACCATTGATTTGTTTTTAATATATATATTATATGTTTTCTGGACAGTGGGCACTCATGACATTGCTAAACCCAACCTTTAGTGTGGAGAACTTAATATACCTTGGTTATCCTGGTGATCCATTATCTGCTGTCCGTGTGACTAGGAAGCGTCGCGCTGATCGTAAAAGACAACTATCAGAAAGAAATGTATTGCAGTGCTTCGTTTTCGGGCCTAGGAATGCTGGAAAATCCGCATTATTGAATTCTTTCATTGGAAGGTATGTTGCTGTGTTACCTTGAAGAGTCCTGGTTCATATCTTAATTTTTGTTGAATTTACATTGCAGGCCATATTCTGAAGCTTACAATCCAACCATCGAGGATCGTTATGCCGTAAATGTTGTTGATCTTGCAAAGGTAAATGACACTTGATTGACATTTGGCAATATCTTTTTACTGTGACGGAAATACTTTATTTTCTTTCCCCTTTTTCAGCACCAGAGTCTTCATTTGATGCATTCATTTTGTTCATCTTGGCATTTATATATTAAAATTCATGGTTTTATCATATACTTTGCAGGAAAACAAAAAGTATCTTGTTCTGAAAGAAATTCCAGAAAGTGGAATTGCAAAACTGCTGGCCAGTAAGGAGTCTTTGGCCTCATGTGACATTGCAGTTTTTGTTCATGATAGGTGACCTTTGATATTAAATTAAATTTCACTATACTAGCATACCATAGAAATTATGAATTACCGTTTCTTTAGTTATTCTTCTAAAAATTGCATTAGTATAAGGGTACACGTTTCACTATTAATCTATTTAGTGCACATGGTGTATAAAATTTGCAGTTGTGTCATATATTTTTAGCTCATATAAGCAACTTTTCAACATCTGAAATCAAATGCATTTAGAAAAACTTCATTATGCATCTGGATCAACTCCATAGAGTTGAAGATAGTAAAATAAGAACCAAAAAGATTTCTTTGAAATTGTTTGTTTGGAAATTTCCCGAAAAACTTACCATGGGTTCTTCTCTCCAATGGAACAACAACACCATTATGCTCATTACTTAAGAAGAGATAAAATAGAACCATGATATCCTTTTTGATCCGAAGGTGGATCGACCATCAGAAGAAGAATTAGGCCAAAAGTTAGGATCAATTATGGAAAAGTAAAACTTCCATCGGAAAGAAGCAAATAAAAGGCGCATTTGGATCAACCTCCAGTAGTTATTCTTCATTTGCATTAGTATAAGGATAGGTTTCACTATAATATTACTTTGTGCCTGTGGTGTCTTTAAACATAAAATTTGCAACCGTGTCTTGGATTTTTAGATCATATAAGCAACTTTTCAATATCTGAAATCAAAAGCATTTAGAAAAACTTCATTGTGTATCTGAACCAGCTTCCTAAAACAACGAGTTGGTTGAATGCCACAAATTCTTGGTTGAATTTGTCAGACTAATTATGTGAATTATCCCTCTAGTCTAAATTATAAGCAATAAACCTAATTTCTCACACTAACTAGTAGTTTTAGTTAACTGCAATTAATGTTCATGTTATATAAAAGTTATTGTATTTCTTAGTGTCCTTTATTTATGGAAACATGTTCCACGGGAAAAAAGGGTTGTTAAAAAATAAAATTTAGAGATGTTTTTGGAATGACATCATTCAACAGGGGTGGAAGTAATTGAATTTGTTTATATTTTAGATCACCAAACATATATTTTTTTTGCTTATAATTGTTACCACCAGGAGGAATACAACATAAGCTTCAAACAGCATGGTATTCATTATATTTAAATTTACAAGTCATCCAAATTATCTATGGGTAGTTAACTGTAATTTCATGTTCATGTTGTATTCATTATATTTAAATTTACAAGTCATCCAAATTATCTATGGGTAGTTAACTGTAATTTCATGTTCATGTGGTCTGGACTGTGGGTAACTCATACTTATTACCTGGAAAAATGTTGGTTGTTTAAAGTTCAGCTGATTACAAATTCATTAATTCATTTAAGGTCTGTTGAGTCTTCATGGAGGGCATCATCTGAACTCTTGGTAAATATTGCTGGACATGGAGAAAATACTGGCTTTGAGGTGCCCTGTCTTATAGTTGCAGCTAAGGATGATCTGGAATCATTTACATCGGCAATACAAGATTCAATTAGGGTATTTTTCATTAACTTATTAATTTACATGATAGTATTCGAAATTTCACATGCATGTTTCTCTATACTTAATTGTTGTATGGTTAGATAATGAGATATTTAATGCGGTGAATGGACGTGTCTTGGAATTATGATTTTATCTGACTTTCTGACTAGCAATAAGTATATATAGTGGTCTGTGTATGTGTAGGCTTTGATCTTTAGATTGAAATTTGATTAAGCAGGTTGAAAACTACTTCCAACTTTTTTGAAATTGGGATGTTTTGGTTGTGATTATTTTTTGCACATTTACACTTTACTTGATTTTTTCAAAGTAAAGTTAGAGTAAAATAAGGAATCTTCTAAAGAAATGGTCTATGTGTAAAAATGCCGAAATGAAAAAAATATTAGAAAGCTAATAAAGAGATCAAGAAGGCAGTGAGTGAAGCAAGATCCCAAGCGTTTGACGGTTTATACCAATCTTTAGGAGTCAAGGTGGGAGAAAAATCTATATATAGGTTTGCAAAAGGAAGAGAAAGAAAGACAAGAGATTTAGATCAAGTGAAGTGTGTTAAAGATGAAGGCAAAGTCTTGGTCTAGGAAAAGGATAGAAAAGATAGGAGGAAGACGAAGCTATTGAAGTGTGAATTTTTTTTTTGAGATAGAGGAAATGAGCGACTTACCAAATTCTTTTAACAAAATTAAAAGGTTAAAACAAATGTCATAAATGGAGAAGAAACACTTTAGTTTCAATCTATAAAAACAAGGATGATATACAAAATTGTGCAAATTATAGGAGAATTAAACTTTCATACCATGAATTTATGGGAAAGAGGGGTTGAGCGAAGATTAAAATAAGAGACTCAAGTTAATGAGAATTAATTCAATTTGGTTTTATGCCTTTGAGGTCGACCATGTAAGCAATCTATGTACTACGACATGTGATGGAGCAGTATTGAATGGACCAATAAGACTTGCACTTAATTTTCGTTGATTTGGAGAAGGCATATGATAGTGTTTGGAGAGGCATATGATAGTGTCTAGGAGATGAAAGGGGTTAGGGTTTGCCTATATTTGAGTTATCCGTGATATCTATGAAGGGGCATCGATTAGTGTGCGGACACAAGGTGTATAGACATGCGATTTCTCCATTACAATAGGATTGCACCAAGGTTCAACCCCAAGTACCTCCCTTTTAACTTTAATCACAACCAAAAGCCAACACCGAGATGTGTTAAAAGGAGGATTTAAATGAGAGGTTGGAGATGAGTCTTAGAAACGCATGACTTTTGCCATAGCAAAAGTAAGATGTAAAGTTCAGTAAAAGGAGAAGTGTTTCCAACCTAGAGGTAAAGTTGGAGACCATATTATCCTGCAATTTATGCTGTTTAAATAAATATCTTGGGACCGCAACACAATGACAAAGAAGTAGAAGGGAATGTCAACCATCGAATTCAAGCTGGGTGATTGAAATGGAGGAGGGTCTTAGGGGTACTATAGCTCATTTGCATAAATGTCGCCATACCCGATTCAACCAGAAGTTTGATTCGGCTCTTCAAATCATCTTTGATTTGTGAACTGTGATTGCCTGTTAATCTTTATAATAAGAATTTTTCACTCTTATTACAACATCTTCATGTGCATTTTAGTGTAGGCCCATGTTCTGATATATGTTCAATTAATCTGTTTGTGGCTGACTTATAACTAGAAACATGATAAGTGTGTTCATTTTATGGCTTTGCGTGCATTTGATCCGATTATAAGTTATATTTATCAACTTTTCCTACTGACTTGCAAGAACAGGCAAAGTGTATAATATTTTAGCTTTTTCATTTATGGGCAACATCTACTAGGGATGATCTTCGGACAAGCAAAACTGAGTGTTAGAACAGATTGTCAAGAAAAATAAATTGCATTCTGATGTTGCCCATGACATATATATTCATGGCATATGATGTGCTTTCTTGTCGCCGAAAGCAACTGTTTCATCCTGCGGTTGAAATGTAATGATATTTCTGACTTGCCAATATGTTTTGTAGGTTAGTCAGAATATGGGAGTAGAGGCTCCTATACCAATCAGTGTGAAGTTAGGGGATTTCAATGGTATATTCCGCCGAATTGTAAATGCTGCTGAGCACCCTCATTTAAGCATTCCGGAAACTGAAGCTGGAAAAAACCGCAAGCATTACAACAAGCTCATAGGTCGATCTCTCATGTGTGTTTCAGGTATATCAGTTTTTAGGTTGACGTCTTTAAATAATTTGAGCCCATTGAGCTGTTTAAAGTTTGGATGATGTGATTTATCTTTGGCTGCATGTTCTCTCTTTTGGTTTCATTGTTCGTTTTTGATTTTACAATGATTTTCCACTTTTCCACTTATAACCTTAAGGTGTCATGCCACTGAACTGGTCCCTATTGGTGTTTCCATTTAGCTAGTTTTGTTTCTCCAGTGTTGTAGTTGAAGGACTTTTTCTGAACCCATTATTCGCCTGTGGTGTTGATATCTTGTTTGGTAGATGGTTCTTGGAGTTGGATTTAGGGATTAAATAGTCAATGATTTATCAACAAAAATCAAATGGTAGCAAATGAAAAAATGGCTTTTACCATGTACCTACAGTATAGAAACTATCTGATTCTTCCAACCTTAGACCAGATTGCTTTCAATTTCCGAATACTCAAGTCACAAGAAAATATAACTGCAGCTTTTGTTTCTCTGTTAAATGGTTTTTTAACGCATCATATTGCAGTTGGAGCGGCAGTGGCACTCGTTGGGTTGGGTGCTTACAGGATATATGCTGCAAGGAAGAGTGCGTCTGGTTAAAAGGGAAGGTTTTCTGAATGGGTTGCGATCTCTGCCTTGATCCGGATGCAGTCTGCTCTTTGGTAACGTTACATCGTCTTAAGACATTAATGGCTTTTTCTTGAGCCATATGCTGTAGAGTTTACAATCTTGTTTTAGTTTTTCAAGGTTGAATTAGGTTAGCACCAATTTTATATACAAATTATTGGATGTTTCATATTTTTTTTAGTTAGGCCTTCGTGAATTAATTTATAATAATGTGTTTTAAGGTCCAGTTCATTACTGGAAACTCTCGTAACATATCTTAACTCAAACTATTTAGATTTCAAAGTAATTAAAATATTACAAATATATAATGTATTATTTAATAATAAATTTAATAATAGTGATTAAAGTGGTGGTTTACCGAAGACAGATCGTACGAACAGTAAAATATAAAATTAACTAATCTAAAAAAGAATTATGGTTACTCCTTCATTGCTCTTGTTATGGATGTATAATTTATGGTAGTTATTGTAAGGTTAGTTATAAAGTTGTGAACTAATTGAGACTTGAAAACATGTATATGTCCATGTTACTACTGTAAATAACAATTATTCTTCTCAATAACAAAATTGTACAATAATATTTCTTTACAATCAATTTAATATCTTTCTTCACTTTCAAGAAACACAAGATTGTTATAATAAATTGGTATCAAGGAGTTCAGTTTGATCCAATTATTTGCAATGGCAAATGAGGTGAAAATTATGATAGGTGGGTTGCACAATTGAAGGGCATACTTAGATTTTAATATGTGCTTGAAATCGTGTATGATGGAGTATTGATATTAGAGACATTTGTAAATGATGCTTAAAAGGTTGCACACAAAGAAAAAAAAAGAAAGATGAAAAAACTCTTCTCTTAATTCATAAGTGTGTGGATTTGAATATTTTTTCGAACATCATTGAAGAAAAAAAACTAAGGAAGCATGGAGATAAAGCTGTATGGTGGAAATGAGAAGCTGAAGAGAGTAAAGTTGTAGGCTTTTTGGAAAAATAATGAGATGACTCAAATGAAAGAAGATAAGTCTTTTTTAGAATTTTTCTTGCGAGTGGTGTTGCTAACAAATCAGATGAAGACATGTGGTGAATCAATCAATGATTTGCAAAAGATTGAGAAAATGTTGAGATCTTTATACATTTGTTTTTCTTCATGATTGATTGTATGCTTGTGTGATGATCATTATAAATTCGTATCTGTGTATTGTTCTGATGTGAATTCGTGTTGCATGCTGATATTGGATATGAAATTCGTGTGAATTATGTACTGTTGTTGCTGGGTTCTGCGATGGGGTCAGATCCGAGAATTTTGGGGTTAACGAAACTGAACTCTAATGATAGAAAACTTGGATAAAATGATGAATTGATGAAGGAGAATTAGAAATTTAGGTTTATACTAATACAAATGCTATTTTGGGTCGAAATCAGGAGCTTGAAGGTGCTCTAATGGGGAAATTGCACTATTGCAAAAAATCCATTTTTCTGTAGCAGATTGGTCATACGCGTATTCCAGGAGGCATTACGTGTATGTGAGACACTCCCAGGAGCATTACAAGGTTAATCATCAATGTCTTGCTTCAATTGTAAAAGAAAACAAAAACTGATTATGACACCACAAGTTTGGACATTTGAACTTCAGAAGTTTAAGTATGCTCAACATGAAGAAGATGGTGTATGGTCAACCTCAAATAAAGGAGCCAAGTCAGATGTGTGAAGAATGTGCCACACAAGCAGAGAGGTCATTCAAACATGACTTGCCTATGGAGTCAAGACAAAAGCTAAAACCTGTTCATTTTAATGTATGTGGACCTTTTGAAGTGAGATCACATGGAGGTAACTGTTATTTCCTAACTTTCATAGATGGATTTACAAGACACATGTGGATTTATCTGATTCAAAGGAAGAGTGAGCTATTCACACATTCAAGAGATTTAAATTACATGTTGAAAAACAAAGTGAATGCAATATTAAGAAATTGAGAACTGATGGTAGTGGTGTATACACCTCTATGAAATTTGCAAAATTTTGTATTGATGAAGGCATAAAGCATGAGATCATTGCACTTTATACACCACAACACAGTGGAATAGCTGACAGGAAGAATAGAAGTATACTGAACATGGTCAGGAGTATGTTGAAAGCTAAGAGTGTGCGAAAGAGATTTTGGGGGTGAAGTAGTTTCAACAGCAGTGTACATTCTTAAAAAATGTCCAACCAAGAAGATGTTGCACAACACACCTTATATGGCCTGGACATGGTTGAAGCCAAATGTTGGTCGATTCAAGGTGTTTGGATCAATGTGTTTCAGACATGCACCTGAAAAGTTGAGAAGAAAGCTAGATGATAAAAGTAAAGTTATGGTCCTTATAGGTTATTATTTAATTGATGCTTACAAGTTGCATTCACCAAATGAGGGTAAACTTGTCATCAGTAGAGATGTTCAAGTAAATGAGGGAAATAGTTGGAATTGGACTCAGAAGTCAATTAAACATGATTAAGATATTATCAAAACTGTACTTGAATATGATAAAAATGGAGAGGATTTAGAGGGAAAAACTACTTTGTATTTTGCTTGTGGTTACGGTGAGGTGAAATGTGTGCAAGTTCTCCTAAAAGTTGGATCTAAAGTAGATGCTTTGGATAAGAATAAGAACATAGTTCTTTATTATGCAACAAGTTATGACATGAAAGAAGGCGTGGCCTTGTTCGTCGAAAACAATTATGTAATTACTCTACATAATATGGATGGAAAAACTCCTATAGATGTTGCAAAGCAAAACAATCAAGATGATAAGAAGAGTACTACAAGCTACCTATTAATGATTGAACGTGCTCCAATCTCTCGGAGTTCAAGGAAGCAAGGAATAATAACATTATCATATTGTGAAGCTAAATATGTAACAACTTCTTATGCAGTATGCTAAACGTTGTGGATATAAATGTTGTTAGAAGATCTCAAGATCATGGAACCTAAGAAGATGAAGTTATTTGTAGATAATAAATCAATCGTAGACTTTGCTAACCACCCTGTGTGTCATGGCAGGAGTAAGCACATATAGAGGAGGTATCATTTTCTTAGAGATCAAGTGAATGAAGGGAAGCTCAAAATGGATTACAGATTAGAAGTGCAACTAGCTGACATACTCACAAAACCATTAAAGAAGACAAGGTTTGATGAGTTGAAAGAGCTTATTGGAATGAGAAGTTTAGAGAATATGAATTAGGTGGAGTGTTGAGGATGTATAGTTTATATTATAGTTGTACTGGTAGTTACAAAGTTTGTAAGATTAAATACCAAGTTTGTAAGGTTAGCTACAATGTTTGTGGGATTAGTTACAAATTTTGTGAGATTAGTTACAAATTTTGTGGTTACAAAGTTTGTGAGATTAATTATTGTAAGTGCACTCTTCCATCTAGTCATGTTTTGAATGATTTCAAAACTATGAGAGTGCTTTAGTGTTTTTGTATATTGGGCGGTATCAACCAAAGTTTAGATGTGCATTAATCATCTTAGCCTTATGATGCATACAAATGGTTTTGAAAATAATTGGAAAAGTCTTAGACATGCTACATACATAAAAAACAAAGCTTAATGTGTGAACATTATTGCATAGGCTGGCACACACGAGTTCAGGTCGACCTATAGAAGCTTTTGCTTCAGTATATATCGACATATATCTTGGATATGCCAACCTCCACACATCAATATTAAATCTTGTAGGCTCTTCCCAGAGATCACTGCACTTAGGTCGACCTAAGTACCTTGATAGACTGACCTATTGCTTTCATTGAACGATCTGTAGCTTCCAAAAACTTAAAATTTGTTTCGCGCGCACACACACACACACACACACACACACACACACATATATATATATATATATATATATATATACACACACACACACACACACACACACACAGAGAGAGAGAGAGAGAGAGAGAGAGAGAGAGAGAGAGAGAGAGAGAGAGAGAGAGAGAGAGAGAGAGAGAGAGAGAGAGAGACATACACACACACACACACATACACACTATATTCTAGTAAGGTACTAGTGTAAAACCTAAACGAAACTAGAAATACAAAGTTTTCCCATTATCTTCAACCATTCTTCTATGCAAATGTACAATCCAACTACACATAATTATTTTTTGATTGGGTGACCATCTAGATTAGGATTGATAACGTCCAATTAGGTTGGTGTAAACGAGAATATTGGATTGAGATCTTTGTATGTTTCAAATAAGAAAACCAATTTGAGTTTTTCCTTCAAGATCATTGAGATTTGAAGGTTTTGTACAAGATCACGCAAACACGAAATTGACCGAGTGAAGGCCTTGGGACAAGGTGGTACCTTGCAAGGGAGTAGCGCGAGACGGTGAATCGTATTCGAGAATCTTGGGTTCAACAAGTGCGTGCTAGGAATTAATTCGACGTAGTGAAAACCTTGAAGATGAGGAAGTCTTCCAATCAAATAGTCAAGAATATGTGGATTGTAGCAACATTGTTGGTGACTTAATCAAACATTGATCAAGGGTTTAGAGGTGATATAATCAACAATAAACCATAGGGTTTGTGGGGTTATAGTTCTTCATATCTTGTATAAATATTTTTTGCAAAGATAAGATTAATTGCAAGTATCTCAGTTTGATTTCGGATTGAGGACAAACGTACCCATAGAGAGGCCAATTAGGGAACTTCCTAAACAAATCTTTGTGTCTTTCTCTCTATCTCTCTATCTCTTTACTTCTTTAATTGTTGTACTTGCAAATTATCGAGTTCATTATTGTTTGATCAATTCGATCAGAAATTGTTTTTCAATTATCTTTTAAAGAGTTGTTGTTGATATAATCATAATTCCTTTGATTGTGGTTGGCTTTTAACATCAACAAAACAAATTGAATTTCTGATCGTTATCGATCACACACAAAGTGTTCGATAAATTGCCTTTGAATATTTTAATTGATTTGTGTTCATTGGAA